ACATACAGACAGGGTAACTGCAAAGACTCCTTTTTGTGCTTCGCACACGGGAGTCAAAAATCAGTGAATATAAATTCCATACAATATACCCAAAAAGTCTTTTCAGTGAAAATTAATTCCAGTTAAAATAAAGTATTTTACAGTACATGCTAATGGCTTGTTTTCCTTGTTTGTTAGTAACTTTAGTTTTAAGCTAACACTTCAGGTGTTAATTAATTCAACATTGAACTTCTATCCTAGCAGACAATACAGGACGTCAACATCTGGTTTCATTATCATTACAAATCATGCCCCTCTATTGTTTTGTTATTATTTTTTTTCAGGGGTACCCATTCTCATACACTTAATATGGATATTATTGTCTTGTTTTTCTTTACAAATTTCAATTCAAGGAAAAAAAAAAGTCACGAACAATGACATAGTCCCTGTTTGTATTTTGCTGATTTTTAATTATTTCTGTAAACAGATGGTGATGCAGACACATAAAAATAAAAACCAGCATGGCAACATTTGGGCTTTTTTTTAACAAAATCAGAAAACGAAACAATTTAATTAGCTCAGGCTTGCCTAAGGAATGAATGATGAAGTTCCTGTTTTGGTTCGGAATACGTCTGATATAAATAAATATTATAGTTACAGAAATGCAACAACTAAAATAGTATACTGTAAAAGGATTAATTATTCACTGGGTTTTAATTTTGCTTATTTCGCTGACTGGAAAATGTGCTAAGATAAAACCCAGCGAATATGTAAAATTTAGCATAGAGCACATTATCTAATTAATAAAACCGTGAATTTAAAACCTACTGAGTATGCCTGAAATGCTAAATCAGTGAAATTTAAACCCAGTAAAAAATAGTCATTCTACAGTAACTAAAAATGCATCAACTATGGTATGATACAAGTAATAGGGTGTTGGATACAAAACAATGACGTTCACCTCACGTACAGGAAAAGAATTGGTAACACAGTCCTGCTGGTACATTGTCATTGTATTATATTGTATTGTCATATCACGTCATGATTCAGCCAATTTTCCACAAGGATATGGACAAGAATATTTTCTGTAAAAATCTACTGATTTAAAATAAAATGTTATCAAACCGAAACTAAGATGAAAATGACAACGTCTTCCCGTTTCTATTTGTGTGTACCGCAGCACAACCTTGGAAAACAACACTGCCGTCAACGCGCCTATGATTCGCCATCGTACTGTACTGTCACTGTTAGTGGGCCGTACTACATACAGGTAGTAGGTACATACCTAGAGCTATCACAACACAGTCGTAAAATTGGCAGGTGAAAACAACACCGCAGCTTTTAATTCTACGAACATATAACCGTCACAAATCAGAAAAATATGTAGATATATCGATCACTTACCTAGTTCTGTCGTTGAAAAACTAAAAAATGTTGAAAACATGCCATATAAGAAGAGAAAATGTACAGCGCTGCCCGTGACTGTCACCGCCATTTTGCTTTCTATTGGGGGATAGTACTTTTAATGAAGGGGTGGAAGGGTGATTTTACTGTCACTTTTAGAGATGGGCGCGTTCTAAACGGTCATCGTGAACTTATAAATAAATAAACGCTGCTCGGACTGATAAATATGATGTATAGAAGATAATATTTACATATATGTCTATTTCTGGTGTATGTGTTGTCAATGGCAACGAAAATCAGCTCAGGCGTGTCGAGGAGGAAACTATATTCCGCCATGGATCTAAAGAACCCCATGGTATTAACAAACAGTTCAACTCATTTGTTGAGCTCACTACCTAAGGCGCGTTATTTGTTCTATTGTGGAATTTTTTGTGATTCTAACTTATAGTTCATGCGCGTTCTTACGTTCCTATGTTCTACCTGTACGTTATAACACTTTCTTCTATGCTATCCATAAAGAGCCATTGCTCGAAACGTCTAGCTATTTTTACTGTAATAGTTATTTAGGACTACGATTACCAAATATTATCTTCTATACATCGTGAACTTATATGTCACTGATGTATACAGAAGATACAGTCCATGGTTTAATACTGCTGTCCTATTGGGTGTTTCAATGTACAAATAATTCAGTATGCACGGGAACTGAATGGGAACCGGGCTGGAAACAGTCTGTCATGGTTTATTTGGTGTGAATTTAATATTTGAATTTGTTTGACTAAAAAGAGCCATATCGGCCATCGTAATACCCTAATACGTGGGTACTGTTAATACGATATAACCCACCCACTCTTACTTGTCCAATGTAAAGCTATTTCCAATGTAAACAAGGAACAAGAGCCCGTATATAATGTTAGAGTTCTTAGTAGCAGTCTTACAGTGGGCACCAAACAAATAATAAAATCGCGGCGGGGGGGGGGGTACTCTTGTTAATAATTTCAGGTAATCGAACTAGCATTACAATTTATACAGTAAAACAAATGGCTCTTCGTTGTATAACTACAGTAAAAACAAACAAACAAACAGTTAAGGCAGTTCGAACCGAATTCAAATGTTTCACTTCTGGGCATGTTACTGCACATTATACGCAATGCATCATGGGAGATACATTTCGATTGTATATAAAGAAAAGTGGTCATTTCAAAGTTTTCAGAATATTATGATTCTTGTCAATAATAATGTATGACCCCTCATCCCGTGTCACTGAACAAAAGTTCGAGATATTAAGAAATAACCTCGCCATAGAAACCAGTGTAAAAATGGTAGTTTTGACCATTTTAAGACATTTTTTTTACTTTCGTATCTCGAAAAATTGTCCGGTGACCCCCATTTTGTTTTACATATTCGGTATCTTGATGACATGTATCCATAAAAGTAAAGCATGGTGAACATGAAATATGATTACATCTTGAAATGCATCCTAAAATTGTCAGAACTATACAATTTGTCATATCTTAGATAAAGTTAAAAACAAGTAAAATAAAAAGAATCTCTGATGATGTTCAAGTTACAAAGCATTTTATTGACATTCAAGTTACAAAGAATTGTATTGACATAAACGATACCTGTTTCATTAGGTAAAATAACCGAGAAACACTTTATATGAGTGAGCCAGATTTTGAAGAATGTATACTAACATGTTTGGCATTCCGAGGACCTCAGGCTAAAAACAGAAAACTTACTCCCTGTCTGTTAATTATTATACTAGCGGCCTACGGGGGCCGGGGAGAGAGCCTAAATGCGTTGTTGTCGTTGCTTAGTGGCGACACCTCCATTTAAATTACAACATACGAATTGATTATCGAAGATATGAAAATGTTCATTTTTGCACAAGGCGCTGGGAACCAGCCATGACACTTAAGGCCGGAACCAGCAAAGATTTCGACAACAGGTTGTTGTGACCCTCGACCCTCTTTAGCTACTGTGTGGCGTTGGTGGCGCTACACTAATAGTTTAAACCGGAAGACTTCAGATGACCTCGAGCAGAAAAAGGATGTTGTCATTGGCTGCTTTCATTTTCATGGGTGTTGGTGTTCTTCTTGTTTGCCGACGATTCATCGCCAAGAAAACCCCAATGGCCACCAAACCGGGTGGCGTGCTCTTCAGAATCGGGTAAGGATATTGAGTCCGCGTTTAAAGATGGTGTATTTAAGTACGCGATGCTTGTGCAATAATTGACATTGACAGAAAGAGAGATTTATTACCGGATACATGTACTACAAAATATCTCTTGTGTGAATCACGTCTTAATCAAAACAAAATCAGGTCTCGACAGTATTAGGGACAACGCTTGATATATTTCCCTCTGTATATTTCTTCCCATGGCATAGCCAATTGCAGGTACTGAATAATTCGTGTACATTTTACAATCGTCTTCGTTACCTTACAAAATGAAATTGAAAATTGTATTAAAATTTTTTCCTTCTCCTGTTGTTTAATTATGTAAATGATTTTGACTCGCGGAGTAATTATTTGATGGTGGATTCAGTCGTATTTTAGTCAAATAAAAAATAATCAATTAATAAAGAAGAAATATTTTGTGAACATTTTACAAAAGATAACAAAATATATTAAAAATGTTTATAAGCAACCAACGAAGTCTCTAGGTGGTCGTATGTTGAAGTGGCGATGCTGAGATTTTAAACATTTCTTGTTTAAATATAACCACATAAAGTTGACCATATCTTACCGAAATATTGTTTTAAGACATAATAGCATGGGCTTAAGTGGCCACGTGCAAGGCCAATATCACATAAAAATGTGATGTGAAAACTAAAGATTGAGTAGTCGATCCTTTTGTTGAAGACAGTCATGTTGTGTGGCTTGTAGAAAATTGTAAGACACGATGCACACTATTATGGGAAATGACTGGATATAATCGGGGACTGTCAGTGTAATGTATTGAGTTTGTCTGAGCACATTGTTGTGAGTTTGGTAAATAAAGTCTCCATCCGTACAAAGATTTCTGATTTGAATTTATAAAGCGACAACCTGATGATTACAGAGCTTATGAGTGATATGCTATATTCAGAGAAGTTTAGCCTCTCAAAATGGCAACATATTTGACATTTTGCCATGGTTCCGTAATCCTAAAGGCTGGCTTGACAAAATTGAATTTGGGTGCAGCCTCTTGACCATCTTTTTTCATTTGCAAGTGATGTAATGTACAACATCAGAGGCTGAACAATATAAGCTATGCTTTCAATGTCTACATTTCGGCAATAACCATTACAAATTGACACTTATGACACAGCAAATGTTTATTTTTGAATAAAAATTGGAGGAAAATGGTTGATAGTCAAGATTTTTTCCAGTAAAAAAACTGCGAAAGGGAGCACTGCAATTCAGAGGCGCAACCAAGTAGGGCAGATAGGGTTCTCTCTACCAGTGTGTGGAGTTCTAAGTTGAAATGGAGCATTCTATGGCTTCCTTGGGGCTAACATTACTATCAGGCAGGTCAGAGTTGGCCACATGTGATCCCTGGTCAATCAGAATTTTATGGTTGCCAGAGGATCTGCTTCCCAGGGTAAGAGGGTGCATGGCCATGGCATGAGGGCGTTGCACCCCTGTGTGGCTTTGATAATTTTGGAGAAATGAAAGTGACCTACTGATTTGCATGAATAATATCTGTTTTTATAAATTCCTGTAAATAATATTCATGCCTTCAAGAAATTTACTTTAGTGAATTACTAGTTCTTAAGTATTAAGTTAATGTATCATGGTTATGAGAAAGCAACTTAGATGTCATTTTCACTCTATGATAAGAAAAAAATGGCCTACCGGCAACTACCCACACAGAATTTGTTTTATAATAGTTCATTACTTGTAATTTATTTAGCTGTAAATCTAAAATAAATCTGCTATCAGTTAACATGTAGCCAGGAATTAACTTATAGATCTCCCTTCCATGGACTGGGTTGATTATGACAATGAATCTTTAATGTTCGAAACTTTTAATATTTCCAGGTATTTCTTGTATACCAGAACAAGACTGGGTTATTTTTATCACTTGAAAAACTTATCCAAAGCACGAGAAAAATTTCCCCAGGGTCACTCTGTGGTCACCCCGCAGGAATTCAATGGTTTACGGATATGTCCCGTTGCTATGCTAGATGACAACTATTCCTATGTTATTGTTGACACTGCTGATAAGGTTGCTGTGGTCATTGATCCCTCTGATCCGGAAGCTGTCCAGGTATGCACATTTTTCACTGGGTTTTAGTTTCATGAATACCTCAGCAGAATTTCAAATTTGTCTGTCTGCATGATAACTTGCTATGAAATTCTCGGCAAGAACTGTACAGTGAATATAAACAAAGAAAAGAGTAATTTTCTTTCTGCTCTCTTATAGGTTCCATTATGTTTACCATGTAATATATTCATATATAGTCATGATTGTACTTTAGACCCTACACAAATTATTTGATGTGAACAGTGCAGTATATTGTGTGCCTATATCCACACACAAAAATTTCACTTTCTTCTGAATTCCAGTATTCAACCAATACATTGTATTGTTTTATTTTATGTATGTCATATTTGAAATATAGCAAACCAGTAATATCTTTTTACTTTATTGCAGCATTGTTTACAAAGAGAAAATGTAACCCTGCAAGCAATATTAACAACCCATAAACATTGGTGAGTAGATTTATAAATTACTTGCCACCTGAGGGCAGTAATGACCCATCAGTTAAAATGGAATTGTGGGTATTATTATACTGAGAGTGGAATGTTTGTGGAATATTTACTATAATGTTATTATTTCTTTACAGGGACCATAGTGGTGGAAATTCAACATTGAAATCAATATTTAGAAATATTCCAGTTTATGGTAATCCTGTTGATTCTATTCCAGGGATGACAAAGTATGTTACTTTTCTGTTTTCCTCTTAAAAATATTAAAGAAAATCTTGAAAATTAGGATCAAAATCCATTAAACAAATTTTGATTTAGTAAATTTGGTCAAATTTTACCCTTCATCATTCACTATCATCACGATTTTCATTTTACAGTTGGTTTCCCATTTCATATTTTGATTTGTTTTAAGGTAAAGATTTGACTGGCTCTGAATTGGTTCATACATTCTAGATCATAACAAGTTGATTTCACTCAACTCGTTTCTGTCAATGAATGAAATGTAAACAGAAAATAAGGAACTGTTGATTCTGAAACAGTTCAAACCTTTTTTTTTTTAAATGTTTTTGTGCCTGGCGACAGTTCTGGACATTGAATTTTCACTGTTGTCTCTCCTGACATTTTTTTTGTATGTGCAAGTTGCAAGTGCTGACATATAGTGCATTTTTGCCACAGAAGCCATATTCATGTTCTGGGACTACACACATGACAGGGCTGTGCAGGCCATCTCTCTATCAAATGGCAATTTAATGCGCTATCCTGGCGTCAATCAGGATCAGTCGAACACAAGTACCTGCGGACCTTAACCAAGGTTCCCCCTAAGTCGCATTCATTAGTGAATGAATCTCGGCCATTAAAATTGGCCTTCCCATTGAGTCTGTGGCATACTTGCCCAGGGTAGGGGTCGATCCTTCAGCCTAAGATAGGATTTGAACTAGGGTCTACCGATCATGAGTCTGATGCAACAACCACTATGCTACCAGTGGTCGGTGAAACAGTCCAAAACCTAAGGCATAGCTACTGAATAAAAATAAATTCTTATTTTGTATACATACAGATATTTCTAGTTCATGTATTGTAAGAAAACTAACTTCACAAAACTTAATAAATTGCTAAATATTCACAGTCTGGTATTTTGCTGCCAACTTTGTCTTTTATAAATAAGAGCTTCAGTTATTTTGCTAAAATGAGTAGTTTTTTGTTTATTTGTATTGTTTCAAAATAGACCTCTGTCTTTCTTTCTAGTCCTGTGTCACACGATGAAAAGCTCCAGATTGGAAACCTCACTTTTACTGCAAAATGTACTCCTGGTCACACTATTGGTAAGATAAGTTTATAATATATAAAACTGTTTAAATTAAAATGTTTTCTTGTTTCACTCATATACTAATCATGCACTTGCTTGGTTGTTTTGCAATGTATAATTTCCCCCAGGGCAAGGTTTCAGTGTTTTCACTATGTTCTTGTCTTAGGTCACACAGTTTACTTATTAGATGGTGCATCATTCACAGCTCCAGATTGTCTATTTTCTGGAGATGTTTTATTCATTGGTGGTGCCGGTATGTATTTTTTTTTGCCGGTATGTATTTTTTTCTAACATGCACAGTATACCCATCCTTCCCTTGAATTGATGATCATTGGTAGCATAGTAGTTGTTTACTGGAGCTGAAAACAAATAGGAATACCATGGGTGAGTGTGCAAACAGGGGTTATTGCATAGCAATTACGACTTTGAGAGTCCGCTTTGTTAAGGCCAATCATTCAATATTGGGAACTGTCAAAACAAACATTTAATGAAATGACTAGATGAAGATATTTATACTGTAAAGGGGTTAATTATTCACTGTGTTTTAATTTGGCTTATTTCGCTGACTGGGAAAATCAGCTAAATTAAAACACAGTGAATATGTAAAATTTAGCATAGAACACATTATCTAAATGACGAAACCGTGAATTTAAAACCCACAGAATATGCCTGAAATGTTAAATCAGTGAAATTTAAACCCAGTGAAAATTAGTCATTTTACAGTAGTTGTTATTTATACATATTGATTTCAGGTAGAATGTTTGAAGGCAGCCCACTCACTATGCTAAGATCCCTTGACAGTGTATCAGAATTAGAAGATCATGTTGTCATCTGGCCAGGTAAATTGTATTCCATCATTATTAAAAGTGAAGATCATATCATAACATAATTGCTGCTCGTGTATAAACTTCATATGTTTCAATCACTCCATAAGGAACATATTGAAAGCTACTACATTAGAATGTTATATAGTGTCAAACTACTTTCATAATTCTATGAATATTTACTGGTTCTGCTGATGATCAAAATCCATTTGTAGGATTTAAGTTCAAGTACAGTTATCAAGAGCATAAAGAGCCCTCATGTGACATTAGGAAATGAGAAGTCAGCCATATTGGGGGCACTTTATGTCATCTGCATGCACATGTATGTCTGTAGTATCCCACAATGCCGTCATTTTTTGGGTGGTTTCAAGATTTTAAAAATGTCTAGCTTTAGCTCAAAAAAAGTATTCACTTGTCATTGCATTATCGTGATTATGTTGTGTTACGATGTAAAATTGTCATTGATTGGAGGCTCAGATCCTTGTGCTATTGTTGTTGGTTAATGATCATCTGATATTGGCTGGTTACCTGCTTTTTCTTATCCTCACATTGTGAGTTACTTGGTTTTCAAGTACTATACTTATAGTAAGCTGCAGGCTTCTGTTGTCAAAATTATCACGATTTAATGTAAGGGAAAATCTAAACCGGAATCTAAACTCAATACTAACAGAGTGAAGTGAAACATCTACTCAACCTAATCACCAATGGTTTTTTATTATTTACACTCACATATAAAGAAATGTGTAGTGATGAATGATAAAATGTTAAAGAAGGAACAAAAGATGAAAAAACTCTGCAAAAGAGAATGATGGAATTACAGAAAAGTATTCCTGAGATTGAGGTACCAACATTACAACATTTCCACTCATCAAATCCTTTACCACTAGTAGGCAACAGCAAAGATAGTTCAGATAAAGATGATGAAGACAACTACACTACACGTATGAAAAATAGAAACACCAAAAGAGGATTTCAAACTCTCATCATCAGATTCAATATTGAAAAATATTGATAGTAAAAGCCATGTACAAGATCACATATATCAAACCACTGATAAGACATTCAACATCAATTGCTGACAAAATCCAGATTATTGTTATTCATGTTGGAACCAATAACCTTGCAGATGAAGATACTGTAAATTCATGTACTGAGGAGTATACCACCCTGGTGAATGACACATAATGCAAATATAAATTACACATAGAAGATACAATGTCAATCTGAATATAAACATTGGTGTTCTGAATAATAAACTTAAGAACCTGGATGAAGACCTATATTGACAAAAGCAATGTCATTTTGATATCCCAAATATCAGATAAAGTGAAAATATGTGGCACAGCACTCTTGGTTGAGAATATGGAAGATGTGATTGGTCCACCAATTGGAGTGAAGATATCAATACTAATTGGAGTCAACATATCAAATTATACCACGATAGAAACCAAATAAATTCAACAAACATACTATGTCGTCTCAATGAAACCATTTCAAGGATTCAAGCCAAATACTACCGCTAGTAAATAATATGTCAAGGACCAACCAGGAAACTGAATAGTCCTCAAAAAAGAGCATTATCCGTATTTTACTGGTCAGGAATATACGAGATGCAAAAATAAACAAGATGACTTTATAAGGAATATATTGAATATTCCCTGTATTGACCTTGCTAATATCGGCTGGTCATGTGTGTTATTTGCCATACAGTAGTTAAACTGGAGAATTGTAGACTTGACGGCAAGCTCCAATCCAAACCCTAGCATCTACAGCAAGCACATCTTGCAGAATGAACTATATAATACAAAGTTGTAACCACTTTGTACGATGACCACCACACCTTGTTTGAAGACAATTATTAATGAAAAATAGCATTCATGGTAGAAAAATTCTGCCTAAACTTTGTACATAAAATTTGTTGCAGTATAGTATTGTGTGGTAGTCTGTGCTGGGATCTATCATTGGTGAGGGAGCCCTATAGTGTATGCTTTTACCACTGACATCGCAAGAACCATTCATCAGATTTCAATGAATCTTGGTACATAGTTTCACTGAGATATTGCACATGCCTGGTTAGATTTTTATTGATATCTGTGCATATTAATTACCCAATTTGCATAAAAGTTTTGACATTTAAACAGAGTGTTCTGTTAGTATTGTGAACTTCAATACTCTAGATTAGGTTGTATCTCAGTGAAGTATTACATCAATTTGTTTAAAGCGGGCGGGTCGACGATAACAACTTGCTAAGAACGCAAAGGCTCATGGGTAGATATTTGTTTGTAAATAATGACACCCTATGACCATCTGACGCATGCGCAGGTGACGACACCCCCACTTTAATCACCTAATCTTGAATATTTTTTAATTTTAAATATTTCCTGTCTATTTCTAATTTTTTCAACACACAGGAGTTAAATTCTTTCTAAGATTTCTTTGATTTCATTTATATTATTGCAGGACATGAGTATGCAAGAGATGATTTGAGATTTGCTATCAGTATTGATCCTGATAACCAAGCTTTACAGGTTAGAGTGTTTTGCTGTCAGTACACTTGTTCTGATTAGTTACAAATATATTGCACAAAAATGAAAAATTGCATTTATTTTATGGATCAGTAAAATATAAACACATGTACTGTAGAATACTTTATTTTCACTTGGAATTAATTTCCGCTATTTACGCTGAAGGGATGATTCAGTGAAAATAAAATCCAGCGAATATACTTTGTTTCCTATATTTCACATTCAACTCATCAAAAATCAGTGAAAATAAATTCCATACAAAACACCCAAAAACTCTTTTCAGCGAAAATTAATTCCAGCTAAAAGAAAGAATTTTACAGTATGTCATTGCTAATATAGCAAACCCAGTAAACACTTTATTATGTGTACAATAAATTGTCATACCAGTTGTTATATATGACACATACTTGTCACCTATGTACCAATAATGTAGACAGCTGATATGTGCCCAGATTTCAAACACAGTATTTCATGTTATAAATACATTTTCTATTTCAGAATAAGCTAAAATGGGTGGAAGAAAGGAGGAAAGAGAGATTGATGACAGTAAGTGCTTTGATGCATGTCATTTTGTTTTTCAGATTGGATTCAAAATGGCTGACTGGTAGCCAAGTGAACCATGTTCAATTTTCAACTAGCAAATGCAATTTTCAGAAATAAGTGCACAGAATGAAATATTCAACTGCTGATAATGAGAACCATTATGATAGTAATATGATCTCCAAAATCTGTCAAATAGATAATTTAGTAAACCAATATGGTTTTTCCGAGTATACATAGAAAATGTGACAAGTATTCTTGCCTTTCTCAAATCTGGCTAGTATTTTATTTTGAGATATTGGTTTCTGGAACATCTCTAATAATGTCTCTCTGATTCATAGTGTCCTTCAACAATTGGCGATGAGAAGACTTACAATCCCTTCTTACGAACAGCAAATGAAACCATACAGAACACATTGGCAATAAGGTCAGACACAGGCGAAGTTGAAAAGATGCGTACAGATACGCTAGCAGAAATCAGACATAGAAAAGATACATTTTCATACAGACTCTAATAGTGTGTGCATCCTTCTGTGGTTATGGTTTTGATAAATCAAGCAAAAACATTGTGGGACTTGTGCTGTGGGATGATTTGAGTAAATGATAGATCTACCGTACTGGCATTTCTACTTGCTCTGTATATAGTTGATATACATGTTGTAGCTCTGTACTGATCTAAAAACATGTATTTCCTGATAGGGAATATGCCTGTTGAAAAAAACAACAACATAAATTGCTTCTTATCACTATTAAATAATTGGTATACTATGAGACATATTTAATTGAATTACGAGCCAATTGCAAGAAATTGACAATATTATCAATAGACAATATGTATCTCATTATGGTAGATGTTTTGCATAGCTACTGTTACTAAGTAGGTCTCTTATTCTTCATCTCTTTACTTAACCATTTATAATAGATGGGGATCAATCAACTAATTTAATTATCAAAGTGAGATTTACTTAATAAATATACTCAAATTCTGTAAATTTCAAGAAATACTAGTATGTTAAATTAAATAAAATATGTAAATAGTAGTCTTATTTATGTTATTTGTAAAACCACATATTTTTCCAGTATGATTTTTAAAGATTTGATATATTTTGTGATGAAAAATAAAACCCAAAGTGCAGTGTAAAACAGATTAGTCAAAGAGCGATAGTTGTCACACTGCGCATGTGCGACATTGATCTTCCCATAATCCAATGCGCTCTTCTACTGAAATTACAAGTATGAGTTTTGCCCTGGGGGCCACTTAATGCACTAATTAACACCGGAGATTCCTTCAGTACCTTCCACAGACCAAAAAAATACCTTATTAAAGCTTGGTAACCTCTCAATTTGTATATGCAAGACCGATATCTCGTGCATGTGCGGCATGACGACTACCGCCCTTTAACTAAAATAACATTCTGGAAAAACAAACATGTTTGACAGTATCAAAACAATGTAATTCTTCTTCTTTCTGTGTGTATGGTGTAGTATAAAGATAATTACATGTTAGTCTTCTTTCAGTGGACAGAAAACGATTTCTTTTCTGATCACTTTGTCTACCTCAATGTTTGAGCAGTGTTATATCCACATTACAATAGTGGGCTGTATTGTGTATTTTTATTAATTAGTTTGTAATTCATATGTGTATTTTTATAAATAAATAACATTGATTTCAATCGTACTACAGTCTGAAGTGGTCTATTCAATACACTGACCACCAATCATATGACAGTCTGAAGTGGTCTATTCAATACACTGACCAGCAATCGTATGGCAGTCTGGAGTGGTCTATTCAATACACTGACCTCCAATCATATGGCAGTCTGAAGTGGTCTATTCAATACACTGACCTTCAATCATATCAGTCTCAATGAGTCTATTCAATACACTGACCACCAATCATATGGCAGTTTGAAGTGGTCTATTCAATACACTGACCTTCAATCATATCAGTCTCAATGGGTCTATTCAATACACTGACCAGCAATCATATGACAGTCTGAAGTGGTCTATTCAATACACTGACCAGCAATCATATGACAGTCTAAAGTGGTCTATTCAATACACTGACCGCCAATCATACAACAGTCTGAAGTGGTCTATTCAATAAACTGACTAGCAATCGTATGGCAGTCTGGAGTGGTCTATTCAATACACTGACCAGCAATCATATGACAGTCTAAAGTGGTCTATTCAATACACTGACCGCCAATCATACAACAGTCTGAAGTGGTCTATTCAATACACTGACCGCCAATCATACAACAGTCTGAAGTGGTCTATTCAATAAACTGACCACCAATTATATGACAGTCTGAAGTGGTCTATTCAATACACTGTCCACCAATCATACGACAGTCTGAAGTGGTCTATTCAATAAACTGACCACCAATCATATGACAGTCTGAAGTGGTCTATTCAATACACTGTCCACCAATCATACGACAGTCTAAAGTGGTCTATTCACTAAACTGACCACAAATCACATGGCAGTCTGAAGTGATCTATTCAATACACTGACCACCAATCATACGACAGTCTAAAGTGGTCTATTCAATACACTGACCACCAATCATA